CTTATAACTTCCTCTTCATTATCATTGTCATTTTCCCCTGCTTGTGTCAAATAATCAATCGCTGACAATAAAGCACTGCCACCCATCATAGCTGTACTTCCTGCTACTTCTGCCAATCTAAAACCCATCTTTAATTTCCCTCTATGTCTTTTGAAACATCACCTATTGCCTTCACTGTCACTGCTACTACTGCTAGGGTTTTCAATCATTTTTGTAAAAGCTTCTACCATCTTATCACTTCTTGATGGCTCTAAACTTTTGAAGTTCTTTGAACTCATCTTCACAATATAGTTTCCTATTATCCGGTTTAATTCATCTCCTGTTTCAGTCTCTTTGTCAAACGTAATTTTCTTCTCGGTTTGCGTTTGTTCGTTCTCTATCTCTGGGAATTGTGTTGCCTCATCTTCAGATTCTATCTCATTACTTCGTTCTCTTCTTTCTGTTGGCTTATTTAAAAATAATGTAAGTATTCATCATCATCCATTATATGTGTTTCTTCAGTCTATTCTTTACTAAAAGTATGATTAATAATAATTAGATTTTATTCTTAATTATGCCATTTCACTTCCCCTTGCGCTGTGTCTGTTTCTGTATTCTTTAATTTTGCTTTTCAATAGTTCTGATTCAATTATTCTTTCCCATACACCGGTTTGCATCATATCAACATCTACATAATATTGCTTTGTTGTTTTGCCTCCTCCTTTGCCTTTTGCTCTTGTTGGTAGTTCATTCTCTGGGTCATCTACATCAAAGCCTCTCAAAAACAATTGAAATTTCAATGCTTCTGCGCTCATAGTTCCTACATTTAATCTATAGCTAATGGTTCTTAATACTGCTTGTTTGGGTTCAGGGGCTTCGCGTTCTTCTCTTGCTGTCATCATTTCTACTTCATCTTCTGCTTGTGGGTTGTCTTGTGTGAAGTCAATTGCTAATTGTGGCACCGGTTGAGCCATTGGCGTTCCTACTCTGCTACTTGTTCTACTCAATCCACCAAATATCATATCAATAACAGGTGTGGCGCTTCTACTTATATAATAAACTTTGGTGTGCTTGTCCTTGTTGTTCTCTCTCCTGTGCCATTCTGGCTCTTTCTTGTAGTTGTGCTTGAATGGATGCATTATTAACATTGTCATCTCTTGGCGTCTCTGCTTCTATTGGAGTTGTGTCTCTACTCTGTTGCCTCATCCTTTCAACATGAACTGTTCCACCTCCTAAATTGTGTCTCAATAATAGTTATCTCATCTGTCTCTCTTGTATTCTGTTTTGTTGTTCCTTCAATACTTCAAATGCCAGGACTTGCTTTAAAAAATGTAGCCCTTCTGTCTGGAAGGCTTCCAGTTAATTTTTCATTTTCTCCTATCAACCCTGCTATTTCATCATATGTTGGTCGCCTCTTCAATTCATATTTTGAATAAGGATTTATCATTTCCAATGCCATAGTTGCCATATATTAATATTTTAGGTAAACATGTTAATATATTTATGCAAAAAATAGGCCTTTAGTCACACAGAGTTGCAGAGACCCACTTCCCACAGACCCACATCCTCTAAACCACTCTAAACCTCTCTAAACCACTCTAAAATTTTAGAGTGAGGACACTTGGAGGTGGAAACCAGTGACAGTGACTGACACCACTCTAAATCACTCTAAAATTTTAGAGTGGGGATGCTGGGAAGTGGGTCTGTGGCCTCATCCTGCTTGGGGAAAGCTATCTGGGCCCTACCTGCAGCATGTACTTGGCACCAACTCTAATCCACTCTAAAATTTTAGAGTGGGGATGCTGGCGGGAAGTGGGTCTGTGGCCTCATCCTGCTTGGGGAAAGCTATCTGGGCCCTACCTACAGCATGCACTTGGCACCAACTCTAATCCACTCTGAAGACAACTCCCCTCTAAAATCATCTAAAGTTTTAGATAGTCTTAGAGTAGAGTTTTTAGTGTTTTTTAGGCATCAAGTGGTTTTAGATAAGTTTAGATGAGTTTAGAGTGGTTTAGAGTGGTTTAGAGTGGTTTAGAGTTGTTTAGAGTGGTTTAGAGTGGTTTAGAGCGTTTTAGAGTTGGTTTAGATAGGTTTAGATAGACATCTTACATTTTAGAGGAAGTGGGTCTGTGGCAAGTGGGTCTCTGGAACTCTCTCTGATTTAGGTTGCTTAATGCTGTGTTCTTTTGTGTTGTGCGGTAGGTTGTCTCTTTGGACTTCACCTCTCAACCTGTCCAGTTCATTTTGATAGTTTGACCTAGCATTTGCTTATATCATGTCCTTTCTTAATGCTACCATGCCCTCTGTTGCATTTCTTAACTTAAGTTCCTTCTGTAAATGCTCCAGATAACTTGTATCTCTCATATCAAATGGACTAAAACTTATTAATGATTTGTGAAGATGTGCTTTAGTGCCTGTTTTGTTGTTGTGTTTATGATACTTAAACATTATTAATATATTTTGTTTTAGACAAATATATTAATAATTTAGACTTATTTTTTTTAATCGTATACCACAGACCCGCGTTCGCAAATTTCTAACACGCTTGCACTAATAAGGTGGGTAAAAACCTCTTGAATGTCTTCAGCATAAATTGCGTTAGTGCTATCACCGGGTGTAGTGTTTAGAGTTCCTTCAGTAGGGCGGATGTTCATAGTGATTAAACTACCCATTTTTGTGTTAACTCCAGTAAAGTTGACGTCAACCATCTTTTCATGACATACCAATAATAAATGTGTTTTCTCTGTATTGCCTGTAACTGAAACTCAATGCATCTTGGTCCGGGTTCATGTAATGTATGGCTCTTCGCAAATAGTAGAAGGTTTCTGCATGATAATGATTGTGCCTCAAACTCTGGATACGTTTTGTTGCCTAACTGGATTTGCCACTATAAGTTTCTACCATAGTCTTGGAAACCTTTGCCTTGGTCTTGAGGATTTGCTACTGCTGCATTGTCCCAGATGAATGAGTTAATTTGAGAATTGTAAAAGTAGTTCCATCGCTTATGAACATAGTTGTCTGGTAAATAGTTAGCATTGATAGTTCCATTTCTTGGTGTTCTGTATAAAGTAATGAATGCTCCCGTGAGTTTGAATGATGACTTGACAATGTTCATATCCAATTCACCGCCTCCTGTGTTGAAGGTTTGTGTCAGTGTGTGATACATAGGAAAGACCAGTTTTAGTGACTGACCGTCCAACAAATGTTTTACTATGTTGTTATTAACAGTGTTGTCTACAGTCATTACTTCAGCTCTGATAATAACATTGTTTAATTCCCACTGTGTAGAAGTGTTAGCTGCTTGAAAGTAATACCCCTGTTTGTCAGTTTGAGTGTTCGGGTTTCCTACTGCGCCTCCTTGTGGTTCTACAATAGGTACCAATTCATCATTAACAATTGTGAATTCTAATTCCAAAGGCGCATACCTCAAAGGTAAATAATAGTTTGATTGCATCAACCCGCAAACAGGCTTATGGCTGAATCGGGCTTTACCATTAGCGCCGGGAATTCCTGTCAATGAGTGTCTTGTATACTGTATCTTTTATCTATTCTACCCCATTCATTTTTAACACCGTCAGGGGATACAGTTACTACACCGGGGGTTGGAGTAACACCAGCAATAGTAGCCTGCAATAATACATCCAAACCATTAGCATAGTCATGAAAGTCAGCGTCCCATCTTGGGTTAGCTGACATCTCTATGTCATCCATGTCTCTAACATACAACTCACAGTGTCTATTGTATTCAACAATATTTCGATCCATTTGACCTCCTACTGTTGCTCTGTATCGTTGAATAAAGGCATGTAAGCCTCCTAATGGACGTAAGAAATGGTGTCTTGTTCGATCGTTATTTTGCAAAGTTGCAAACAACCTTACTGAACTCAAATCCAAATAGGTATTATACTCTCCTGAAATGTAAAACCTGATGTTTTTCGCCCCCGCATTCGCATTAAATACGTTTGTGGTGCTACTAAAATAGTTTACAAATCGCCTGTTTGTAACATATTGTGAAGTTTCAGGTAATCCAAAGTTCAGGTAATCCAGGTCACCAGCTTAAAAACAGACATCAAACGAAGCGGTATCCATTTAGCAGAAAGGATTTCTATGTCCTTTTCCTTCAGGGAGTGCTCTGGTAAGGATGAGTCTGGTTCTATGTTGTCCTTTTTATCCAGGTTCTTTTACAAAACTTGTGGTTTTTTACTTTAACATTTCAAGGTAAAAAATCACAAGTTTGCGTCTGTATGTAC